GGAGAGGTTCAAGGCATTAGCTTCAATGACAGAATTCAGAGTGTTGGTTTGCTCTGCCGTGACTGAGTTGTCGCCTTCAGCTGTAGCAGCTTTATTGGGAAGTGGATCGTAGCAGAGAACAGCTTCAGGGTGGGACGTTCCAAAAGGGTTGAGTACAAGACGGCGTCGACGACGACTGTCATCCTCCCAACTGTCCAACCGGAAGAAGGCAGGCTTCGAGGGTCTGCGAGGGCACCAGGAGCACGAAGGAGGAAATTTTGGATTTAAGAAGACGCAAAAAGCAATGCAAATGGGGAAAAGGATAAACAGAGAAAATTCAATAACGAACTCAACAGATGAAATAAGGTTTGTTATTTAAATCAGCAAAAATATTTTCTGACAACACCGACAGGAGAATGGCGGAAGTAGACAAAATTTGACTCATAGCTTAGCAAGTTTAATACTACTACTGCAGAATTTTTACAAGACAAAGAGACCGCGTGCTCAAATTAGGCCAACGAAATTGCCACCTATTTAACATCAATATAAAGCTTCGCAAATAACGACAATTTTTTGATTTGGATCACGGAATGCTCGTAAACACACTTCTCACAACACCGAAGCTGCATCGGTAAACCTGGCGCCGGCATACATCGTCCTGCGCAGGTACTTCCGGAATGACATCACTGGTGGTTGGTTGGCCCCTGCCCCCTATAAATGTGGCTTGTTTTTTGTTGACGCTTTTAACTCCGACGATGGACTCCAGTAAGTGTTCGAAAGCTCAGACGAATGACACCATGATTCTCTACTTATTGTCTCCTTTTTAACAGCGATATAAAGCTTTACCAATCACGAAAAGTTATTTTAGTTTGGATCACGGAACGTCCGTGAACAAGCTTTTACCAGTACCGAAGATGAATCGGGAGCGTGCATGAAACGATTCAACGACTGTTGAGCGCATCAGAGGGTGACATTCACTCCATAGCCGAAAGGACCGAGCATCACAGGCGGCGATACTTAAGTACTCGCTGGTCATCGTGGAGGACGTCTTCCTAACACAAGGTGCTAGCGGTGTCTACCAACTGCTTTGCTAAGAAAATATTTTTCGCCAGCACAAAGTAAAACTTTACGTCTGTCGTCGACATTTCCGACTCCTTTGCCTCATAGCTGTCAACTCCTTCCCACAAACCTTTATCGCGCCCAGTCAACTAAGAGGAGAGTAGGGACAACTTGAGGTACCACATTTTTCCTGGTAAAGGATTAACAGCAGCAATGTATCATAGAAGAATTGAAAGATTAATATGAACTTTCAGCCTCACGTTAGGTCAAGGTAAGATGGAGCCAAAAAGGAGACGAGAGCCAGGGGTGGAAACACGGGGACACAGTACTAGGTGCAAACATTCTCCAAATAGTAGTAACAAAAAGAATTTCAATACAGCCGAGATCCGGTCTAACCTCTTAATTGTAGCATGAAAGATGAGTGCTTGTCGTCGCAGATCTGAACCAAGGTCGGGCGCCTGAGCGTCTCCTGAGGAGGGCAGAGCACGCGGGACCACCTGAGCCTCCTCGAGACAGCGCAGAACGTATTCAATGAGGGAGA